AAGGAGTGGTCGTTTAAGGGGAAGAGGGCCTCTTTTAGTTTTAAAATCATACTGATTTGCGTCAGATTTAATATCTGTTTTTGAAGTTGTGTTTGTTTGTATTTATTTTTTAAGGGCCAAGTTTTTCAGTTATGGGTGTGGAAGTAGAAGTTGTTTCGCCGGGTGATGGTAATTAACCCAATTTTTATAAGGCTTGCTAAATTTGTATTTCTGTGGACGTGTCGACGTTTATCGTAATACACCTTTATATGCATATATTCTTTCAGGGCAGACATATCCCAAATACGGGCAGACTGTTGTTGTTCATTATACGGGTATGTATGATTTTGTAGTTCAGATTCATGGAACACTATATTTGAAACTTGAATATGGGTAACAACTTTGTCATAGTTTAAGAATGGGAATTTTTGTAATTCGGAAATATGCATATTCTGTTTGCATTTAGACTTTCTGGAAAAAAGGAAATACGATTTTCATTTTGTAAATCAACACCTTTAATTTGGATTTGACATTCGATATCAAAGATTGCTCTCTGCAGTACTAAATTAATAGCTGTTTTTCAGATTAATTGTATGTTTTTTTAGGTACTTTACAGAATGGTATGAAGTTCGATTCATCCAGAGACAGAGGAGTACCATTCAAATTTCGTATAGGAAAGGGGGAAGTCATAAAAGGATGGGATGTAGGGGTTTGCCAGGTAAGTTCACAGACAAGTTTTGGCGTATTTAACCACCCTATGACAGTAATGTTAACACAAGGAAAACTTGCTGGCTCTGTAGGTTATTGATTTTTTAATAATGTGTAATTATCATATCTTTCACTGGGATATAGCTTGCAAAATAGTAGGATTGTATGATAAGCTGTGTCAATATGGACCCATAGTCCAATATTTCAGAGACCTGCTCCACCTCCATCATCAGAAAATTATGTGATAACATCATTCCTGTATCCATATTGATACAGCTAGTTGCCTGAGAATATTTTATTGTATTTGGGTACCACGAAAGCTTCAAGTCAAATATGATTGTAAGGTGAACATTTCTTTCTGGTTGATTTGTTGATTATTTATGAACCAGTATGAATTGCTGAATGTATTTGAAAAATATCCTTAAGTGACTGCTTCTGATTGATGCATTTCCTGTACTTGTACAATCCAACACAGTCTTTTATTATGGACCAGACCACCCTTCTAAGTTTTTAAAACAAATGATGGTGGCATATGTTTAATCACAACAAATGTACTACAACTCTTTCAAAAATAAGAATGCTTCAGGTACTGATAAGAATATTGAATTAATGAAGTAATCTTTTCTCTGTTGCAAAGTCTGCTTATTCCATGTCAGTACCAAATAACACATCCCAGATGAATAGAAAACTTGTAAATATTCCCATCCTTTAAAACAATTGCGAGAAGTGACTGGGAACAACAGTGGTGTGAGCTTAGTAAAAATGATACAAAATATATGCTAAGATTCTAACAAGTATAATTAATACATGTGATAACAGAAGCATTACTATTATAACAACAGTATAACTTTAGAAAGGGGTTGTGATATTGCTTTGTGGATTGGAGCACTGGCCTCTTCCCTTGAATTGGTTGAAGCAGAATTTTATGTTTTGCTTACATCAATTTAATTACCCTAAGTGTTAGGTGATAAGTACAACTTGTGAAATTCCTTTTCATGAATTTTGCCCACTCTTACATCCTCATCAGGTTCATATAGTCTTCTGAGTACATTGTTTTCAAAATAACCGAAAGCCATTCATCTCGTGTGTTTTAAACTTATGCTTGAAATATCAAGTTGCATATTAGCTCATCGCTATAAACAGAAATTCTCATGATATAGAATTAATGCTTCAAATTACAGCATCTGGGATTGGAACCTCTTCGGTTGGCATGCATTACACTGCGTTAGAGATCATTTCCCAAAGAAGTGACTAGATGTTTTTCACGTTGGAAGATTATGTGATTGCTTCCAATTCTAATCATTTTAAGTGTGCTAGCAATAAAACTTGATCCATCTTTATAAATTATGCCACAAAAGATTTACATAGAATAAAGATATATTCGGAGCCAGGATAGCTCAGTCAGTATAGTGACTAGCTGCGGGCTGGATGACTGGGGTTTGACCCCGACAGGGACAGATAATTTTTCCTCTAGCCGCTGCATACAGACCGGTTCTGGGGCCCACCTAGCCTCCTGTCCAGTGGGTATCAGGATTCTTTCCTGGGGGTAAAGCACGGCCAGGGCGTGATAATGACCACTCGCCCCATCTAGTGCCAAGGTTAAGAATGAATAGGAGCTATCCCTCCACCCCCCCCCCCCGCGACATCCATGGCGTGTAGTGGGATGGCTTTACTTACTAAAGATGTATTCATATGGGTCAGTAGTTTTGTTTTCTGAATTAGTTTCCAAATATTCCAATTTCAGACTCCAGATGTTGGTATAATAAAGTGTGTTATGGTCTTAAATCTGGTAACATATTCTAAATGGTTTCAGATGTGTGTTGGTCAGCGCGCTCGCCTTGTGTGTACGTCTGATTTTGCATACGGACCTCGTGGACATCCTGGAATATATCCTTTCTCAATTGATTTCTTTTTAAATTGTTTTGGATGAAGTATTTGAGTACTGTACCCCTCTTCATTCCCAAAAAACCATTCTTCTCTTTTCCTCTGCAACTCATAATTCAAAGTTTATGTTCCAGGACCATTTCCTTTTTACAAGCTCCTTCTAGGTCTTTCTCTTGTGTTGTCCATTTCACATTATTTTCATCTGTATTTTCTTCAGTATGACCCTTTTTTCTACAACTCCTATTTGGTCTTTATTCCAGGCTCTTCCAGCATTCTGCATGATAGAAGGAAGCCGGTTTTTGTTACAGTATTTTTCTGATTGTGGATGGTATTTGCCGTATCTCTGTTCTGAGTCTGTATACTTACGTGCTCTAATATCTAATAAAATTAAAATCTTTGACCCACAAGATTGAAAGTTTAAATTGTGCCTTGTGTATTTCAGTTTTTCTGTTCTTGGTTATTTCAGCATATAATACTCAGTTCATGACAATGTGAATTTACATGCCAATGTAATAGTTCCTAATTTCTGTATCCCATGTTCCCTTTTCTCCAGTCATAATTGAGATATTTATTGAGATCACAGTTTTCTGCCCTTCATGTTCCAGTGCATGTTTTTTTATTTTCCTTATTTACACAAGTATATCACAGAAGAATTATACTTGATGGATACATTGTTGTACTAGTTGTGACATTGTTATTCTTAACTTGCTGATACTATTCCACCTGATGCCAC